TGTGTGTGTGTGTGTGTGTGTGTGTGTGTGTGTGTGTGAGGGAGGGGGCTGACCTATATGTCAAATACTTCATTGGTCCAGATGGTGCAAGAAGCTTTACAGATGTGTGCTGGCATAATCTGCTTTATTTGCTTGTCAGCCTAAACACAAGACTGCCAAGTCTTTTAAAAACCACGTTAGCAGCACATGTGCTTAGCCTCGATGCTCTCTTCTGCTCATTTGCCCTCTCGATGCAAGTTGGATGAGAAGATTTGATGATCAGTTAGAAGTTTTGCCAGAAAAGTTTAAAAGACCCGTTTTAAACTTTTCCCCGTCGTTGTTGTTGTTGTTTAACATGCAGGATGTTGCGTGTCGGCTCACGCTAACAGCTTCCACCTGTCTGGAGTCTTTATGCTAAGCCTTTTCTGCTCACTCAGTCCAGAGTTGAAAGACGGAGAGAGAAAAAAAAGACACATTTTTCCCCCAAAAGCGTTCCTTTCTTCCACTTGCGCATGCCTAATGTTCCCAAGCAGGCGTGTAAAAGCCCAGCAGAGCGAGCAGCTAAATCTCGGGGATGTTCTGTTTACCCCCCTCCCGGCCAAACAAGCATAAGTCTAAATAACAAATTGCTCCAAACTCTGCGGAGCGTGTTTGGATGCTGCCGGGGTTTATCCCGGCCCCCCGTGTCTCGTCCCTGACCTGATTCACTCCTGTCGGGATATTAAGATCAACTCAAAACTTATTTGTTCAGGATGGCTTTTTGCACGTAGGATCTCTGTATACTGGGTTCTGTCAGCAATGTGTTTTTCTTTGTGTATTATTTTGTATTGTTCGATAGTTTGATCTGTTTTTTATTCTGTAAAGCACTTTGATCAGCTCCAGTTGTTGTAAAGTGCTATATAAATAGACATTGATTGATTGATTGGTTGATTAAGAATACAGCCCGGCAAAGTCAACCTTTGGGCCGGTTTTCATTTCTCTGCTCGGTTTAAAAAAAAAACAAAAACCTTACAACAACAAAAACCCTTGTCAGTAGAGCACTGAGTGCTACATTTCCTTGGGGTGAGTTGGGCCTCACCCACGCAGACACTCCCTTACTGAGAGGTGACACTCCCCGTCTGACATGCCTGTGGGGGGGGGGTGCAGGACGGCATGTTCCCATCACTCACAGCATTTACTCATCCTTTGTTAGCCTAGTTTCAGCTGTTTGTTATGAGTCAGACAAAAGTTTGACTTCAGAATAGTGTCACTTTGCTTCTTTTTTTTTTTGTTTTTTTTTTCTTTAAAGTTGGTTTAAAGCTGGAACATGCAGGGTGAGCGTGGAATGTCACACCAGTGTTTGAGCGCTGGGAAGTGTCCACGGCTGCTTTTTGGCAGCTCTGGCTGACACGCATTCCTGCTTTTACTGTTAGCTTTTTTTTCTTAAAGAAGCCTCCCCCAGTCATGCACGGAGGCCGTTGCTCAACAGGCCGGTGGGAGGAGGCCGATGGGAAATGTGTGGGTTCCTACGGGTTTAGCCTCATCAGCGTGGGGAGCGATAAGCAGAGGTGGTAATGTCGGGACAGGGTGCAGTGAGAGGGAAAGCAGGCGTCACTCATTAACCAGAGTGGAGCAAAGTCCGTTGTGAGGTACACAACAGCCTTTTCTCTTTTTATGGTCGCCCCTGAACACAGCAGGAGGGATCGGACCACAAGAGCCGATTCTCACTGTAATGAAGCCAAGTTTTCCTGTAGTGTTCTCTTTACCTTCCATTCAAAACATTTCGGCCAAAAGAAAATGTCTTATCCAAGTATAAAGAGATCTATTATTTATTTTGGTATTTAGAGCTTCTTTCTACACAGAAGTGGTTGTGGGCTGAGTCCTAAGATAGGAGATGGTTGTCAGATAGTTCGGGAGATAAAATGGCCTCAGAGGTAACTTGGAAATTGGCAGGGTGTGTCCCAACATTGCAACAGTTCACTGAAACCGCTGCCGCACCCAAGAAAACAAATGCAACACAAACACTGCCTCTGATTTGCAGAGAGAAGACTGTAGCCAGCCTCCCTTTTAACGCGAATGTCTTTTTAAGCTTGTTTTGAAAAGCAAAACTAAACTGTGTCTAACTTCTTGGTTTTTTTATTTTTTATTTAACAAGAAAATGCACCTTCGCATGTAGCTGTGAGGAAGCCCAGTTGTCGACGGGCTGATGACTCAGTGCATGAAGGCAGCGTGCAGCTGCGAGTTCAGACAGTCCTCCGGGGCCCGGTCCCGCAGGATCTGGAGCCAGACTCGCTCCGGCGTCAAACCCGCCGAGCCGCTTCTCCCCGTAGCTGCGAACAGAGACGCAGGGGCATGTTGGAACCTCACAGAGTATCAGGTTTAGCAGAAAACATGTTCTCAGAATGACACGGAGGGAGGGAGGGAAGGGGGGGACGCACACGGCTCCACAAAAATGCTCAACAATTAGTTTTTTTTCGACCAACGAATGGTCGCCGAGAGCAAAGAGGAACGGCTTTGACTCAGGAGGAATGTGTAATGAACACATTCTGCTGGATGTGTGTGCAAATACTAATGAAAAACAAAGCACACAAGCAAAAAAAAAGGGATGTTTTAAGGATAAAACTGCTCAGAGTTGGATGCAAACCTTCCTAAGGGCCTGAGAAAGGTGCTGGCTTTCATTGATTGTTCCGATTACGCGGCCTGTGTTTGCTAACTCCCTCTGAGACCAGCCCTGACTGCATGCTTGGGTCCGCCCCTCTGAGCACAGGCACAGGTGGGAACAGGAGCGTTTATGGCTCACGTTGTGCCAACGCAGCAGCCTGACAGCGTTCTTTTGGTCTCAACTTGTTTTTACGAGCAATAAAGATGGAGGACAAAAGTACACGCTCCTGCACGCTGAACCACTTTAACCGTCTGTCACGTCCAGGATGGAAGTCTGTCTCTCTCTTTGTCGGCCGGGGCTTTTGTGGGCGCGTCATACCTCGACTGCGTGGTCCACACGGGCACAATGGGCCCCGGAAAAAAGGAATTCACCAGCAGCCAAACATCTGAAAACACTTGTGAGCCGCACAGTGGAGGCATTGTAGCGTCAGTCATATGTCACACGAAGTGGCAGGCGGCTATTATGGATGCAGATCTGCTTTGTGATTCAGAGGGAATTCTTGTGGCGAATGACATCCAGAGCCGAGGCAAAAAACAGCCAGGCACGAATCTGCCAGGCAGATGTTTTGTGTTCGAGCCCGTGAATGGGGATGTCACTCACACAAACAAGAAACCTGATAAAAAAAAAACGCAAGCGTTGGGTTTGATTGCGCACGCACGAGTGAGTGATATCATGTTGCCGTGGGTTGTTTTCCTCTCCCGTCAGCACTTTTGTCTGAGAAAGGCCCGGTCCCACTTTTGGATTGCACACGGTTGCCAAACGTGGTGATTTTTATCAAACAAACGTGAGATCAGAGGTGCTCCAACATGGACGCACCACCACAAACGTCCCCCACGAGGCCAAAAACCCAAAGGCTACGCAGATGTTATAAAATCTGAAATCCAGCCACAGATATTTTGTTTTAGAGGGTTTTTGTGTGTGTGTGTGTGACTCCTGTTCTCACCCACTGGAATCCGAGCCCCAGGTTGAAATACACTGCCGTCCTCCGTGTTGTCGTTTTCAGGTCAGGGTGCGTGGCTGCTGGGTGGGTGGGGGGGGGGTGACTGACGGGCAGAAAAACAAAGTGACAGGGTCGTGTGAGGACGGCACTCACGCAAAGATGGACGCCTCGTCAGAGGCATTTTTTAGTATTCGCAGCGGGAGGAAAACCTAACCTCATCTCTCTCTGTTTGCTGCAGGTTCGCTTTGCTGTTGATTTGAAAACGAGGGACAAGCATGGAGATGCAAAGTAAGTCGTTCAGCTCTGTTTTCCTCCATTTCCCACTCATCCCGTTTCACTTAAGTCATTGTCAGTGACCAGTCTCACTTTTATTTAAATGTAAATCTATTTCCTGCTCTAGACTTTAAATATTTGAGAAATATGAAGCTTTTTTCCAGCTAATCTACAGAGAACTGGCTTAGTGAGTTCATAAAGCTCAGAGGGGCTGTATTATGCATTTTAGGACGATTTATGTCACTTTAAGCTTCTCAAAAAGAAAAAAAATGTTTACCACCAACTTCTCGACTTCTATTGGGGATTTATTTTTGGCAACAACAGAACCGCAATAAGTAAACTAATGAAAGTGTCAGAGTTGGATTGTTTGATAAAAAATAGATCACATATAGTAACAGTTGCTGAAAATTTGAAAACAGATAAAAGTGGGATACTAAAAAATGCATGTGAAGAAACCGACATTTCACGTAACATTTCTATGAAATCTTTACTCACCCAGGGTAAAACACTATGTTCTTGATTTCATGTCAGCTTGTTTTCACCATTTTCCAAAAAATGGCTTCAAAACAGGGTGTCGAGCACTTTGATCATGACCTTTCCAACTTCCAACTATTGTTTTCTTGGTTCATTTTGAGGCCACTTCCGCAATACAAGCGACTCTAAAGGTTTCATCTATTAAAAAAAAAAAAAAAAGAAGCTCTTTTATTTTTGTGGAACTCATTCAAAGGGTGTAAAAGTGTGGGGCTGAACTCCCTGACTGAGTGTTGACTTTATCTCCCCGTCTGGCAGTGGGTGACTTTGACAGCGGCTCGGTGAAGGTGGCCGAGTGGCAGCAGACCATGTACGGACTGGACTCCGGCATCCAGTCCGGGGCCAACACCTACAGGGAGGACGAGGACTACAGCACCACCAAGCACTACACGGTGACCACCACCGTCACATCCGACCACCCCGGTAAGACCGAGCTACCCCAGGTGTAACCCACATGAACCCTCACCTGCATTAGAATAGCTAAAGGGGATATATTATGCAAAACCAAGTTTTTAATCATTTGATTATGTACATTTGGGACTGTGGAGGGCCTATCAGCAGGCAAAGTGTGAAAAAAAATGACTCAGTGATATTTTTGTGGGCCGCCTCGGTCTCAATACAGGAGATAAATCAGGAGGTTTCAGGAGTGGGTAGTTTCTGACGTCATTAGCTCTAGCTCATTATAATATTCCAGCCTTTCACCTGCATGTTGCCCCCCCACCTCAGCTTACTCCGCCCATCTGTGGCAGACGCCGTGGTAGCATGGTAGCGTTAGCATGGTAGCGTTAGCATGGTAGCGTTAGCATAGTAGCGTTAGCGTGCCGACGTGGGCACACCTCCCGGAAGAAGTGGGTGGATTGCCTGTGTCTCATTTGCATTTAAAGAGACAGGCACTCCAAAGCGAGCGCTCTGAACGGGGCTGTTTTGGCAGGGGGACTGAACTGCTATTGGGCTTCATCCTTATGGGATTTTGACCAAAGCTTGTCACAGACATTACATTAGGACACCAGGGAACTAGTTTAACTTTGTTGAAATAGGGTATAATATGTCTCCTTTAAAGGGTCTTTGAGTGGTGGAAGTATGAGACGGGAGAGAAGAGGGGCCTCGATCCAGTAGTATTTATTTCCCTCTGTAACAACAGACAGGGCAGATAAAGAGGCCCACTGGAAGGGGTCCAATGGATGGCATTCCCCTTTCCAGTCTTCAAAGAGTTAGACAACAGCAACTACATAGGCTACTGTTTAGTGTAAAACAAAAAAAAAACAACGCACTTAAATCGTGTAGTTTACAAATTTAAAAAAATGTATTAAAATGCACATACAAACAACACAACAAATACTACACAGATCTTTCTTTACATATATATATATACACACATATATTAACATATCTGTAACAGACAGGGCAGATAATAAGGCACACTGGAAGGGTTTGAATGGATGCCATTCCTGTGACACAATGGGCTCGTTAGCACCTTTTAACTTCATAACGGTTGCGGCATTAATGGAGCTAATTTGCATATTTTTTAGCAAAAATTACAATGAAAATAACAACACAAACGTGATGGAATATCTTCCCATCAGAAACCAGTAAAATAACAGAAACAATATAACACATAAACAACATTCAACAATTTGTTAATACTTCTTAGAGTTCCAGTGTGCACCACCAATTATCGCCCCAAGTACTATTCACATTATGGCTCACATATTTTGTGAAGTTCACACAGAGAAAAAGAAAAACAGTTTATTCTTAACACTATTACAGAGGCACTCGGCTATAATGGGATGTAATTACACTCCCGCGTCACCTCTCATCATCTTCTCGCCTCCTAACAGACTTGGATGCCCAGTACTCGATGACCAGAGCCCAGCGGGTGCGAGCCGCCATGTTCCCGGAGACGCTGGAGGGGGGAACCACCATCCTGTCCACTCAGACAGACCAGGGCCAGATGACCAACGTCCAGCGGCTGGCCGAGCCCTCGCAGATGCTGAAGACCGCCATCATCCACCTGATCAACTACCAGGACGACGCCGATCTGGCCACGCGGGCCGTGCCCGAGCTCACCAAGCTGCTCAACGACGAGGACCAGGTGAGGAAACCCGGTGGCTCCGCCCACTGTAGTGCTCAGGCTGGTTAGCCAGTATAAGCTAGCTTTTTTATTATTTTTTGGGCTTTTTATTGAAGCTTTTCCTCTATTTCAAGTCTGTTTTTGTTTTTTTAGTTAAACTCAAAACAGTTTTTAAGCTTCTCATGTTTGCTGCTTTGAGACATTTGTTTGGCAGCAGCGTGCATCATGGTGAAAACCAACAATAACAATAATGAGTCAAATCCCCACAGGCATTATAAAAGCTATAATTTATTTACGATTACACAACGCATCAGAGAAACAGTTGATTCTCACCGACAGAGAAAAATATGCCCCATCCTAGAAATAAAACGCTTTGTCCAAATCTGGAAAAAGGCCCATCCATCACGTCTCCGCAGCTGTCTCTTTGGTTGGGCCTCAGGTGTTCAATTCCCTGATTTTTCAGTGACTATATGGGGTCTGTCTGCCTCTGTGCCATGCCATTTAATATTTCATAAGTTAAGAGCAAGCACTGATGTCTGCTCAGACCTGAACAGGAAGAAAGAACAAAAGAGCTGCGATCATATTTAGAGGAACCAGACCGAATGTGAGCTGTTGCTCTCTGGACCCATCTGGAAACCTCTTAAGAGTTTCATGGGCAGTCTGGACGGTTCACCATCACTTATGGAGGACCACAGCTTTTCTAAGTGTCAGAGTTCATCTGATCTCAACTTCCTGAGAATAAACAAGGTTACTCAAGTCTTTAAGTATCCTGTTACCAGATGTTTGTGCCACCAATGATCAATTCTTATAAACTGAGAAATCTCTTGAGATCGAGCTCTCTCAAAAATCTCTTTTCTTTTATAAATTTAATCATGATTGTCCCATACTGTCCACTATAGAGTCCCACAGGGGTCTGTCCACGGCCCACTCTAGTTTTCACAGTTTTTTGGCTGTGTTTGGTCAAATTATACAGTTTTGATTTGAGTACAGTCATGAAAAATATGCCAATCGTTGCAAAGTGCCTACAAATTTTAAAGTGTTTTCGAGGGGAACTTTAAGGCAAAAATAAAATACGTCCAGCATGTCCAAATGGGAGTGAATCAAGCAAACTGAAAGCTCTCCCGGCCCTCTTTTTAAAGGTGGTGGTGAGCAAGGCGGCGCAGATCGTCAACCAGCTGACGCGCAAAGAGGCGTCCCGCCACGCGCTGATGCAGTCGCCCCAGATGGTGGCGGCGGTTGTCCGGGTGATGCAGAACACCAGCGACATGGAGACGGCGCGGGCCACAGCCAGCATCCTCCACAACCTGTCCCACCAGAGGGAGGGGCTGCTCGCCATCTTCAAGTCGGGAGGGATCCCCGCTCTCGTCCGCATGCTCAGGTAAAAACGACCGATCTGCTGGAAACGGGCGCCGCTTAGATCATGAGCTCATCATCGTCACAGGGAAATATTTTTAGAAAGCAGTTTGGCATCTAAGTGTGGCGTTTATACAGTATGTGGTATAAGAGCAGCTATGCACAAATAAGGGCAGTACAGAGAGGTGGGAATGAATTAGATAAATATATTATGGCCATATACAGATGTATTATGAATATATATAAATAGATATGAATGTCAGTACAGTGGTAGAAAAACACTTAATAAAAAAGGGGCTTATGTCAGAGTATTCGATGAATAATACACAAAAACAAGATGGGTGTGCTCCATAAAGGACATGTTTCCCTTAAAAAGCAGAGTTAGTTTAGAAAGGCGGTTGAAGTTTGCATCAGATCCTGGCTGAAAGACTGTCTCTGCTGTGCAGATATTTTTAGTTCAGCTGCTTTTTTTGGTCCATTTCAGTGTTCAATGACAATAACAAAGAGAATGAGCCAGGCGTGGTCTGAAATGAAAAGCCAGTTTTAAAGGGAAAATGACACAAGTCGGATAGAAAAGGATTTAAATCAGACAAATGGAAAATATGCGGGTGTGCAATTGGACAGTCCCCCCCCCCCCCCCGCTCGTCTTCCTCAGCTCCCCCATTGAGTCGGTGCTCTTCTACGCCATCACCACCATCCACAACCTGCTGCTGCACCAGGAGGGAGCCAAGATGGCCGTGCGCCTGGCCGACGGGGTCCACAAGATGGTGCCCCTGCTGAAGAAGACCAACCCCAAATTCCTGGCCATCACCACAGACTGCATGCAGCTGCTGGCCTACAACAACCAGGAGAGCAAGGTTAGCTTTGTTTGCTCGTGCCCGCGGCCGATCCGATGTTCAGGACAGACACGGTAGCGTGCGACAGGAGAAACTGATCTGCTCGTGCGTGCCGGGTTCAGTTCTGGGTGTGGCGTGTGAACAGGGCTGCTCGGGCAGGTGAAAGGGTGGGGCCACTTATCCAACAATGTCAGAGGATTAAAGCTGTTCACCTGCTGCGGAGCCGTACACTAAAAGGAGTTTTTTTTAACCCTTTAATGCCAAATGTATCATATTTGATACATTAGTAATAAATTTAATTTAATAAATTATTAAATTGCCAAATGTATCATATTTGATACATTAGTAATGCATTATACAATATATAAATATAATAATATAAATAAATTATTAAATTATTAATATAAAAATTTTATTTTAGTTTTTTCTTTTTAAATATTTTGGTAAAAGGCCAAATAAAGACTTAAACCCCCCAAAAAGTAATTTTCTGTTTTGTTTTATTCTTGGATCAGGCTTTAAAGGGTTAAGTGGGCAGTTTTGAAAAGCCGCGCATTGTTTTTTCTTTTTTTTATTTACCCCATGTCGTGTTTAGCATTATGGCAACAGAATTGTAATCTGAGTGCCGTGCTGTGCCCAACACTTTTGCTTTGCCAAGGGATCCCTTGTTACATAAGTAATATGGTCAATGCCAAACATGACCGGGGGACAGGAAAGGAGGAAAAAAAAGAGATCCCTTAGACAGGAAGAGAGGAGAGATAAAAAAAGGGAAAGAGAGACAACAAAACCATCCATCCAGCTGCTGTATCTGTAGAAAGATGTCGTTGTTTTTTATCCTCCTCCACAGCTCATCATCCTCAACAACGGGGGTGGAGAGGGTCTGGTCCACATCATGAGGAATTACAACTACGAGAAGCTCCTGTGGACGACGAGCCGCGTGCTCAAAGTGCTCTCCGTGTGCCCCAGCAACAAACCCGCCATTGTGGAGGCCGGTATGTGCAGAATGTTTTCTCCCGAGGCCGCGCGCACCTGTGTGCTCAGGCCGCTCTGACACCCGATCTGTGGCCGTTAACTCATTGGCTGCCAAAGACGTCTATTGACTTCAATTCAAATACAACCATTGACTGCCAAAGACGTCTATAGACGTCTTTTATGTTTTTCAATGCGAGTGTCCTGGGGGACGATCTGCTAAAGCTTGTCTGTAAATATCGGCTTCTAGACAGAGTATGTAGTAACAAATTGACCCTCTAGGTGGCAGTGTCACTTTTGATGGGAGATGAGCATAGACTGTAGGCAAATAAGAAAAAGGTAACGGTTCGCTATGAGAGAACATGTCGCCGGTGAGACGCAAGTCGAGGAAGAACGGAATAAAGTAGAAACAATTTTTTTCCTGATGAAAGAAGAGAGTCTACTCTTTCTTTTGGTGTGTTCGGTGTTTACATAGTCATAGCACAAACTATTCTGTGGCTCTTGAAAAATCAGTCAAAATGCTCAAAAAACTCTGGCAGTATGGGACTCTGTTCTGAAAATGGCTGGCAGTCAATGAGTTAATGAGAGGCCGCTGAGAGCCCAGCGACTGACCCCTTCTGTCCCTTTAGGTGGGATGCAGGCTCTGGGGAAACACCTGACCGGCTCCAGCCAGCGCCTGACGCAGAACTGCCTGTGGACCCTCAGGAACCTGTCCGACGCCGCCACCAAACAGGTCAGAACTCACTCCGGACCAGGCTGGTCCCGATCCGATATCTGGATCGGATCGGCCGATATTTTTTGCCGTATTTGCAAAAAAAGGCGTATCGGCCAGCATCCAGACTCCTGATCCAGTTTTCCGATCCCACACGAGCATTAGCATCTCCTAACCCACAGGTCTGTGTCCTGTTATTATCAGAGTAAATCCCTGTTCAACACTCCACTCTTCACAGCGTACTATGGCTGTGTCATGAGTATAACAGCATTTGTTTCTTAAGAGATAATCAGATCTGTCTAGAATCTGAGTTTATATGCTGTAAGAGGCAAACAACAACAAAAAAATCTACCGACAAAACTGTTTTTATGTTTTAAAGGCCCGAAAAGATAATAGAAAAGATGAGATCATATATATCTTTTAGGCTGGTCCCGATCCGATATCTGGATCGGATCGGCCGCAAATATTTGCAAAAAACTGCGTATCGGCTGGCTGGAGAAAATGCAGATCCAGACTCCAGATCCAGTTTTTTTTAAAAGTCCGATCCCACACAAGCATTAGCATTAGCATCATTATCCTCTAACAGGTCTGTGTCCTAACCATTAAGTTGTAATCAGAGTAAATCCCTGTTCAACATGAGTCTGACAGCTAAGTAAGTAGATAAATAACTTTAAACTTTAATGCATACTCTGATAGGCCGGGATCGGAAGTACAAAAAGCTGGATCAGGACATTCTTACATGCGACCACATTTTTCGCGCGGCAGCCTGGATTACGCTTCTGTTGCTCTGCCCATCTGATGTTTTTAGACTGAAGCACACAGGTTTTTGTGTTTCCCGGCTCAAAACATGACTGTTAGAGGCTGTAAGCAGAGAGTTCCCTCATCTGACTCTTTTGCCTAAATATGTGAGCAAACATCTGTATTTAGATCCTTCACAACAAACAAAATATACCTTAAAATGATTTTTATCCCACACCCATCGGCTTTAACACATGCTCTGATAGGCCGGAATCGGATGTACAAAAAGCTGGATCAGGACATTCCTACATGCGACCACATTTTTCACGCGGCAGCCTGGATTACGCTTCTGTTGCTCTGCCCATCTGATGTTTTTAGACTTAAGCACACAGGTTTTTGCGTCTGACTCTTTTGCCTGAATATGTGAGCAAATATCTATATTTAGATCCTTCACAACACACAAAATATACCCTAAAATGATTTTTATTCAACACCTATCGGCTTTAATACATGCTCTGATAGGCCGAATTGGGTCAGAAGTGAAAAAAGCTTGATCAGGACATCCGTACTCCGAACATCTCCGTCCGTTTGTCCCGTGTTTCCGTATTTTCCCGGCTCACCTGAAGCTGATTCCCCCCCCCCCCCCCCCCCAGGACGGCCTGGACAGCCTGCTGCAGCTGCTGGTGGGCTACCTGCGGTCGGACGACCTGCACATGCTGACCTGCGCCACGGGCATCCTGTCCAACCTCACCTGCAACAACGCCCACAACAAGTCCCTGGTCACCCAGTCCAACGGCGTGGAGGCGCTGATCCACACCATCCTGCGCGCCGGCGTGAAGGAGGACGTGACGGAGCCGGCCGTGTGCGCCCTGAGGCACCTGACCTCCCGCCACCAGCAGGCCGAGCTGGCCCAGAACGCCGTCAGGATCCACTACGGCATCCCCGCCATCGTCCAGCTGCTGAACCAGCCCTACCACTGGCCCGTCATCAAGGTAGAGGGTCCGGGGGGATGGGGACGAGTCGGTTTGGGGGAAACGGTGGATCCCCGATAGGAAAGCGGGGTGGGGGGGCAGGCAGATCTGTCTGTGTCCAATTTTATTTCTATAGCTTCAAATTCCAACTACAGTTATCTCCCAGCTTTCCAAACAGAGCAGCTCAGACTCTGGAGTTTTTTACAGAATAACAACTATTCCCACCAAGAGCAGCACTAGGAGACACAGGGAAGGAAAAAATTCCTTTTAAGAGGCAGAAACCAGAGATGGGGGGGGCATCTGTCTCGACCAGTTAGGAGGGAGAGAGCGAGAGGGCAAGAGAGAGAGAGAGAGACAGACAGAGAGGGAGAGAGAAAGAGTGCGAGAGAGAGAGAGAGAGGGCAAGAGAGAGATGGAGAGAGAGAAAGAGAGAGGCAGCCTACACAGGAACACACAGACTGGTTGATGTGAAAGAAAAGAATCCGGAGGTTGTTCACATTTTTGGCTCCGGCGCGTCTTCACCCTGGTGTTTGGCTCCGCCCACAGGCTGTGGTGGGCCTGATCCGTAACCTGGCCCTGCTCCCAGAGAACCAGGCCCCCCTGAGAGACGCCGGAGTCATCCCCCGCCTCGGCAACCTGCTCATCATCTCCCACAAGCAGGCCCAGAAACTGGACCCCTCCAACACCAACCAGCAGAACTTCCAGGTGAGCCATGAGCTCCAATCAGAGCTAGGGTATCTGTAGGGTATCTATAACACATTATTATTTATTTTAGACAGAAGAAATGGGTAGATTTTATTTATTTATTTTCATCTATTGAATGCGTTTGTAGGGAATCAGTCGGTTTTTGTTTTTCACTAGCGTTGTCACGATACTAAAATGTTCAACTCGATACCGATACTCAGGAAAATACTCGATACCATTTTCAACACCACAAGGATAAATACAAAGACCCCAAAATTTAACTGAATTGTGTCTTTCATTTCAAACTGACCTGTTACTGACGTTATCGTGGCCGGTGGCCCGCATTAATGACCCTAACCCTAACCCTGACCCTACAGCCTTCATAATTGTGAGAAATAAATATTTTTTGGTTAAACTTGTTTGGACTTATTGTACAAACCTATTTAACATCCACTAGTTTAACATAATATGTATAGAGTTTAATTAAGTGTTTGAAAGATCCATTTAACTTTTTAAATTAATGTCTATATTGCCATGAGGCAATTACGATTTTCTTGCCTGGGATCTTCCTATTGGTGATGTAATCAAAATGGCCGACTTGGATGTGGGCGGAGTTGGATATGTACTTGATTAATGTTGGCATGTTATTATTAGCCATTAGCCGCAGCTAGCAGTTCAAGGCTAACGTCTTGTTAATGATCATAAACAACGTAAATGAATACATAAATAAATCAGAGGCACAGCGATGTTTGAAAACGAGTATCCTATCCGGATACAACATTTTAGTATCGATACTTTTGACAACCCTACTCAGAGCGCGTCGGCCAGTCGGCTTCACGCCGTTTGTTTTACGGGAGTGACGCTCCTCCTTTTACTTTACAGGATGGAGTCAGGATGGAGGAGATTGTGGAGGGCTGCACAGGAGCTCTGCACATCCTGGCCAGAGATCCCATCAACAGAGCGGAGATCGGCAACCTCGAGATCATTCCTCTGCTCGTCCAGGTAACAAAAATACAAGGGGCGGGAAAAAAAAAAAAAAAAAAAGACGGGGGAGGTCTTGGTAATGGACTTTAACTCATTGACTGCCAGCCATTTTCAGAACAGAGAGTCCTATACTGCCAGAGTTTTTTGAGCATTTTGACTGATTTTTTAAGAGCCACAGAATAGTTTGTGCTATGACTATGTAAACACCGAACACACCAAAAGAAAGAGTAGACTCTCTTCTTTCATCTGGAATTTTTTTTTATTTCTACCTTATTCCGTTCTTCCTCGACTTGCGTCTCACCGGCGACATGTTCTCTCATATTGAACCGTTACCTTTTTCTTATTTGCCTACAGTCTATGCTCATCTCCCATCAAAAGTGGCACTGCCCCCTAGAGGGTCAATTTGTTAGTACATATTCTGTCTAGAAGCCTGATATTTACGGACAAGCTTTAGCAGATCGTCCCCCAGCCACTCTCGCTGAAAAACATAAAAGAAGTCTATAGACGTCTTTGGCGGTCAACGGTTGTATTTGAATTGACGTCTATAGACATCTTTGGCAGCCGATGAGTTAACGAGGTTTGTTGCACCTGTCCTCTGCTCTGCAGCTGCTCTACTCGTCTACGGAGAACGTGAAGCGCGTGGCGGCCGGCGCCCTGTGCGAGCTGGCCCAGGACCGGGCGGCGGCCGACCTGATGGACCAGGAGGGAGCCTCGCCCCCGCTGATGGAGATGCTGCACTACGACAACGAAGGCATCGGTAGGAGCCCCAGTTCCTACTTCCCAACCCTGGTCATCCAGACTCGCTGTCCTGCATGTTTCCACCTGAGACTGCTGATAAAGACCCAAACACTGGAATAGGCCGGTCCCGATCCGATATCTGGATCGGATCGGCCGCCGATATTTGCAAAAAAATCCAGATCCAGACTCCAGATCCATTTTTTTTCTCTAAAGTCCGATCCCACACCAGCATTAGCATTAGCATTAGCATCTCTAACCCACAGGTCTGTCCTAACCATTAAGTTGTTATCAGAGTAAATCCCTGTTCAACATGAGTCTGATAGCTAAGTAAGTAGATAAATAACTTTAAACTTTAAAACATGCTCTGATAGGCCGGGATCGTTATCGGATCGGAAGTTAAAAAAGCTGGATCGGGACATCCCTACACTGGAACACTGCCAAAGATATATATGAGCTCATCTTATTTCTATTAGCTTTTCAGGCGTTTAAAACATAAGAACAGTTTTGTCTGTAGGTTTTTTTTTGTTTAGTTTTTTTGTTTGCCTCTTACCAGCATAAAATCTCAGATTCTGGACACGTCTGATAAAACAAATGTTTCTTAAGAAACGTTAAGAAACATTAGGAAACTTCTCTGAGAGGGAAACAGCCGTTCCTCCGGAATAGAAGAAAACATTGTTCAGGACTCTAGTGAGCTACTCTGAGGGCAGGAGAGCTTTAGGGGAGTTTTCCCGGAGGAGCTTCTTTTCACGACGTCTGTGGGTCGACTTTAATTATTTAGAGCTGCAGAGTGGATCTGACCGGTCGGAAAAAGACACCAGAGCTCATGAAACTCCTGAGGAAATCCTGAGCCAACAGCTGGGTGAACATCCCACTGCAGCATCCCAGCCAAAAACCAAAAGCTTTTGTCTGGCCGTTATGTCAGAACCCCCATCAGACACATCGGAGCTTTTTCTCCGGGCAAAATCCCTGAGTCAGCGGTTTCTCCGGGTGGGAATGGGGGGGTCCTGGTGGGGTCGGGGGGGTTGCACTGATGAGCAGAATGCAGAAAATCGGGCTGTTCCTCGTGTGGTGATCGGGAACGTTGCGCTTTATCTAAAGCAGATTTAAAAAAAGACCCAAACTCTGAAGGAACGCGGAAACAAAAGGCTGAGTTTCCCACGTTTAAAGATAGATAAGTGGTGATGTGCTGCAAAGCTGCCTGGGGCCCGAATCAGTGGAGGCCTGGGTGAGCTTTACAAGGGAGGCTGTCCCAGAGAGTGTGTGTGTGTGTGTGTGTGTGTGTGTGTATGTGTGTGTGGGTCTGTGTGTGTGTGTTTGTGTGTTCAGAGCCCGGGATTTTACATTGAGATCAAGTCCCATTGATGGTCATCTTTCTTTGAACCTTTCTTTTCTAAACCTATTCAGACTCCTCCGATTATAAGGCTAAATTCAGAAACCGGGCTCTGGAGTTGTATTGTGTGGGCTGTTTGTTCTGTCCCGTAATGCGGATACCTCGACATTCAGAGTGTTTGCTGACATTGTGTTGTTTGTTCTCCTGACCTTTAAGGCTCACTGCACACATGCACGCTCCACTCATTACAGAGACCCGAGGCGGCCCGTGCACACTCACACAGCGTTGCTCCAGCCTTTTCTTTTGCACGTCATCTGATGTTTGCTGATTTATTTATTTTTTTCTCCTCTCTCTCTTTTTTCTTTTTCTCCCCCTGCAGCCACTTACGCTGCAGCTGTGCTCTTCCGCATGTCCGAGGATAAGAACCCGGAGTTCAAGAAGCGCATGTCTGTGGAGCTCACCCACACCCTGTTCAAGCACGACCCCACTGCCTGGGAGATGGTGAGTGTGTGGCGCCCCCTGCTGCCCGGAGGCAAAACACCACAAGTCCTTAACCGGGTTCTTCCCGTTTTGACTTTAGCGTGAATCGCTTCCACTTAGTTTGTTTTTTTCCTTTTGAAAAATCGCGTAACTTTACAGACTTTTAACCCTTTAAAGCCGGATCCAAGAATAAAACAAAACAGAAAATTACTTTTTTTTTGTTTGAATTCCTTATTTGGCCTTTTAACAAAATATGTAAAAAGAAAAAACAGAAATAAAGATTTAACATTAATAATTTATTACTATGTGATAAGTCAAGATTATTTTTTGTGTAGTCTTCTGCCCCCTGTTATCAGGTGTATTTGATTGTGTACAACAGGATTTTGAACAAAGTTTTTACCATTAAATTATGCAAAAGGTGTCAGACGCTAAACATTTCTGAAACCTTATGTATCAAATATGATACGTTTGGCATTATTGGGTTAAAGTTCAAAGGTTACTGCTGATGCCATTAAATACGCCGGCTCTGTCAAAGCCCTGTTTTCTGACCTTTGCCTCTCTGACCCGTCGGCAGGCCCGCAACGCCCCCCCCCATGGACGGAGGATACCCAGATGGTGAGTCTGTGGCTGAAATGTGCCCGCGCAGCACATTCCTGCTCCCCGCCAGCAAAACGCTCCGTTAGCAGGTTGATCCCCTGCAGCTGCCCGCTGACTTTATTTCAGCTGCTGCGGTCAATGGGACAATCAGGAAAATCAGCACCTGCTAATTCCAACAGATTTAAATGCTCTTTGTTGCACTAACCTCCATATCACTCATGTCTGTCATTTATCCAACTAATTAAGGAATCAAGCACGTTTGCTTTTTTTTACTTACTTTTTTTTCCACCACTCCCACCCCCCCTCTTTATGATTATTTTATTTATTATTTGTATACAATACAAGTTAACAATAACCTTAAAAAAGAAGCTTATTCATAGGTAATCGCACAGCAATGGGAGGTTATTGGAGTTTTCTTAGCATTTACCTGCAGCCCGTTAGAAAAACAGATCCATTGTTATGCTAGCAACACAAGTCGTTTTTAATTCAAATTTAGTATTTCAGAATCCAAAAGCTTCTCTTCCTTTGACCTCCATTCTGGTGTCTGTTTATCTCTGGTAGCTTTTTTTTTTCCTCTTGATCCTCATCGTCTCCCTCTCTTACCCTTTCTTTCCTTTTACGGTCTAAGAATTTTTAGTCTCTGCTTTGAGCAGATTGACTGGCGACGTTAAAAGGAAGAAAAAACAGCTTCTTTTGTTATAAAAAACCCCGCAGCGCCTGCTGTTTGTGGCGTTTGTGTGTCTGCTTTGTCGTGACGGCGGCAGGAAACCGGCGCCTGTAAAGGAGGTGAAATGTGCTGACCGCTGGAGTGAGTGACTAATCCAAAGAACATGTAACTGTTTGCAGAAATAGATGGGATGAATGGCTTCCCGGCCTATGCAGGATACCAAGCTGATGGCATGGATGGAAATGGGATGCTTGATGACTATTCAACCTTCGACAGACAATATACTGATCAATATTAATGGTCAGTACAAATGATTTTGAATTGGTTCAACACTGGAAAACATTTTCTGCTCTACTTCCATCTGTACATCTGGAACATTTTAAAGATGCACTAGAGCCTCTTTTATGATGAAAGCTGCGATCCACTGAATACTTTATTGAATTAAGGAGGTGAAAAATGAATAAACTTGAATATGTCCTGACCTAGATCTGAGCTCATCTCAGTGCACATGTGACTTATTTTTTAAAGCCACGCATTGGAAAAGATCTCTATTTAAAGATAATCAGTATTTCTCACAAAAAATGTAATTATTTTTTTATCAGATGATTATTTTGGAACCAGATTCTTGGAGTTGGTCCCAGAAATGAGTTTTAGCTGTGAGGCTCAGGTGGACACGCTCGGCTTCTGACTCCTGGTTTATCTAAAGGCTTCTTTCCAATCCACCGGAAAAACCAAACACTATCTATTAGCAGGCCGTGTTAGCTTAGCCTAAAACAACATTTGAATCAAAGCCAAACACAGAGTGAAGCTGTTTTAAATTACAGGCAGCAAGTTGTTCTGAGAGTTTGTCAAGTTCTTATTAAAATCCTGTTAAAGTTTTTTTTCTTCCATACTGAAGATCCTAAACTAAAATCAACCAACTCCACTGAAAAGTATTTAAATGATTCAACAACAGCAGGAAAAAGGAGCTGAGCCTTTATTTAAAAGGAGCCAGAACCTTGAATGTTTTCAGAAAGACTGTAAAGAATTTTGATTTATCAAGTTATTCTTACTCATCATTTATTGACAAACATTTTCCTTGCGGAAGACTTTTTTTTTTGTAAACCTGAAATGTTTTATATTGGAGTTTGATCATTTTTATTTTTTTTTAAGTTGCATTCAAACTTAACAACAAACACTAATAAACAGCATTGAATGACCAGTTTTAACCCTTAAACCCACATTTTAATCCAAACTGACCATCTGCATGTTTAAAATCTTGCCTGTACGCAGCTTTTAGTCTAGTTTTACTATTTTAAAGGTCATCCTGGGATTGTTAGATGATCCTTATGTTGTGTAACTCAAATTTTATTTACATTTTATTCATTTAAATTGAGATCCAGTAAATGGATCTCAATTTATGAATTGACAGATAAGTAGGCCATTGTAGGATCACGTGTCCATGCTGCTGGACACTGTGGAGGCATACATTTCCCACAATGCACTGCTCCAGAGGCTGTATATTCAGGTAGTTCCTCAATATGAGGACAGTTTAAAAGTTTATGAAGCGTGCATGTTCTAACTTAGTGAACACACAGTCCTCAGAAAGCTACGAAAGGGATCATATAGTTGGTAATTAATGTGTGACATATGTGAAAAGAACCACTTTCTGGAACAAAGATCAGAATTGTATTTGACTAAATCATTATTTCTCCTTTTCTTTTTCCTCCCCTCAGAGTACAGAGCGGAGGAGGCGCTGATGTGGAGTTCAGTGGGACAAAGAGGAGGCGTGTATAGTCACCAGTAGAGGTCCCCTCTGCCCCTCACCCCATGTAACATATGCAATCATCGACGAGTTTGTGACTCATAATCTTAACAGGGCTCAACGTTTGTTTTCTAGAATAATTGTGCTGATTCTGAGGGTGACAAAGCTTGTAGGTTTCTGTTGGAGACCCTTCGAAGAGCGCGTATGGCCGTATGTGTGTGTTTCCGCTTCTGGGTGGGTGTTCTATGCCAAAGAGATTTTATTTTACGACGATAATCATGTAGCTTCCTTTTTTTTTTTTTTTTATTAAGAAAGAGAAACGAAAAGAGAATAATAGTTGAAAACACTGCCAGAGGTGGCTCAACCTGCACGGTGCACCTGTTCACCGCTCCGCTTTTTCTGCCTTTTAACAGACTCACTGTCTCTGATTCCACACCGTTTCATGTCACCTCCTTCCTGCTGGTTTAAAAACTTCTCTCAGCCGGAGGCGACAGAGAGCGGGACGGCCGTTTGTGTTTTATGATTTCTCCTCTTCTTTTCTAAGTTATTTTCGTGGAAAAAGTCCATCGTACCTTCCAGCTTATTAACGGAGACGTCCTTGGTTTTTAAAGTGAATTTTAAAGGAAGTTCATGTGTGGCTGTGGGGAGTCGGGAGTCCACATGTTTAGATGATGGCTCTGCAGCTGGAGAGAGAACTACTGACAGGGAAATTTGTCTTTCTACTTCATAAAAGTTTTTACTGAAATTTTGTTTAATAAAAATAAAGGATATATTAAACTCAACAGGATGTCCGTGTCTGTGTTCACATTGTTTGGCGTTAGCCGCCCTGGATTGTGAAGTCGTTTGGATTTAGGAATCTGTTTGAATACAGAGGCAGAACAAACCATCATCCCTCCCCCGCCGTGCTCACAGCGGGTTTGAGTTGTTTGTGCCGGTATGTTTGGTTTTCTATGCCCGCAGCACATTCTTTAAGAGGAGAAGTTCCTCTTCCAGACGAGCTACGACACGCTAACGGGCCTGAGTCCGGGATCAGGCTTAGATTTTAACCCTATAATGCCAAATGTATCATATTTGATACATACGGTTTCTGAAATGTTTTGCGTCTTAACACCTTTTGCATAATAATGGTAAAAACTTTGCTAAAAATCCTATTGTACACAATCAGATACACCTGATAACAGGGGGCAGAAGACTACACAAAAAATAATCTTGACTTAGTAATAAATTATTGATATTAAAAATGTATTTCTGTTTTTTCTTTTTACATATTTTGTTAAAAGGCCAAATAAGGAATTCAAACCAAAAAAAAGTAATTTTCTGTTTTGTTTTATTCTTGGATCAGGCTTTAAAGGGTTAAACTTTGGCTCAATGCCGCTCCTTTGGGCTGAACCTGCTGGGACGTCCACTCCAGAGAAGACTGAGCCTCCCTAAATGTTTTCCTCATGTAAATTATCCTTTGGGTTGAACGATGGACTCTAAATATTTTTTATTGACAACCCCTCTCAGATTTACTGGAGACAGCTTTATTTCCTCTGAGGTTTCGGCTGAAGTCTTTGGGCCTGGAGGTGTGTGAACACACACTTAAGACCAGAAAACTGACACAATAAAACATGAAATAGATCAAGGGTTTCTTTACCTATATATATTAATGTATTAGGAGACAGAAACTGAAGGGAAAAGCTCGGCCTGCTCTGATTGGTCAGTTCCAGTTGCCTGACCAGGTACCGCCTGCCACAGAAAAACAACCATAACGAAGCTAAAAAAGTGTTCCAGAGGATGTGAACTTCGCTGATGCCCTCAACATATAAGTTCAATACTGCATCAGAACACAGGTCAACCTAAAAACTCCCCCTTTTTCACTAATGACCCGAAACATTGGTGATCCACGCCGCCACACCGGTCCCGTGGAGACGGAGATTTAGTTTCATTTCACGGGGACGTGAACTGCGTAAGTGGTCGTGAAATTGTCGGAACACAAGCGAAATTGACTCGAAATTGAAAGCTCACTGAAGCTTAGTCCAGAAGCATTAAAGGGGAAATGGACACCAGGAAGCAGCATCTCTGTGACCCCAGATCTCAATCTCAGGAGGGTCTGCAGGTATATCACACATCATAAAGCCCGTCGCCGTAGTAACAACACGGGAGGAAAGTTTTCCAGACTCCGATCTGGACCGTCCACATATTTTATTCTTATGACACTCAAGATCAACTCTTCAAGATCAACCCAAACATTTAAACAGGTCAATAATGAAATTCCTGTTTTCTATAGAGGTTTGGTTGAATTTCCTCTTTGTTTTTCTCTGATATACAGTTTTCCTCAAGCAGCCTGGTGATAAATGTGAGGGAACGTGACAGAGAGAGAAGGTGCTGTGAGGATGTTGGTTCATTTTAAACTCAGAGTTTATTACAGTGGCTCCGTTGTGCAAAGACAAAGTGTTAACGCTCGTCCATCCAGTTACTTTTAGTTTTCTATCGGGCGTTTTTTTCTCCATCGGTGGCCGACAGCAGAACACTCTCAGAGTGAAAACGGCTTTCCTCTCCTTCCCTCTGCTCAGTCTTTTGCTACGTCAGAAGAAAAGGTGGCTTTAGGGTTGGTGATCTCGGGTCTTTGTGGGGACCCCGGCTCCGCTCAGATCGCGTTATCAAACATCTGCATGGACTGCATGATGTTCTCGTCCTGGGCGAAGACACGAAGAGGTCAGAGGTCAGGGGTCAGGTTGCTTTTGATGGGGAATCAAACGGGGAGACGATTTCAATTCAAATTACCTTCTGACACGTCTCCAAGAACTCTTCGATGGTCACCACGCCGTCATTGTTCTTGTCCATTTTCTGGAAAAAGTCAACACAGTTCAAGATTTTTAGCCTTTTAACGAGCTGTGTGCAGACCAGGAGGGTTACGCTGGGATCTAGCTGCAAATTAAATGAGAGTGGAGCAGACCGAGGGAGTCAGGGGCCCCTTTAAACATTTTAAACCTGCTCCGTTATGATAACACCATACCGGAAACTGGACCAGAGGGAGATCTACAGAGGATTGAGATTAGCTACTCACAGTCAGTTTCATTAACTTACACGTGTACTTCCTTGTTTTCAGTTGGAAGTGTCCTTCTTTTTGCCTTTTTATTGAGACATTAAATAATTGTTACTTATGAGGACAGAGTTAGAGGACGGCAATACATGTCCTCATGATTTGCTTCTGAAACTTGTTTTTCTTTTTCTTTGGGTGTAAAGTCGTCCTCGACTGACCCGGTTTTCCTGACATTTTACTCCTAATGACTCATATGTCAGCAGACCGTCTCCAATGATTTGAGAAAAACTGGACAAGTGGAGCACATGAGAAGAAGTGTCAGCCATTTAGGAAGGAAAACGGGAGGAAAAAAGGATTAGGCTATGGAAGCTAGAGCAAATGACACAAGAAGAGGACTGAAAGTCAACACCGGTCTGATGGAGGCATGAACCCCCCCCCAGAGCTCCACCCGACTGAAAATGTGTGGGATCATCTGACAGAGCAAAAGGCAGCCCACGACTAAAGAAGAGCTTTGGGATGTGATTCAACCGGCCTGGGGGGCTGCTCCTTAACCTTATAATCCCAAATGTATCATATCTGATACAGTTTCTGAAGTCTTTTGGATCTGAGACTTTTTGCATCATTCAGTGGTAAAAGCTTTGCTCAAACCCCTGTTGTACACATTCAGAAATACCTGATAACAGCCAGTAGAAGACTACACCAAAATATATTTTTTACTTATTGCACGCTAATTTGATAAAAATGATTTCTGTTATTTTTTTTTCATATGTTGTTGAGGGGCCAAAGAAAGACTTCAGACTAAAAAAATCCAATATTCTTCCTATTTTTCTTGGATCGGGCTTTAAAGGGTTAAGGAAATACACTTGTTGGAGTACAAATGTGCTCGTATAATTAGTTCAGAACAATTGATTAAATTGCTGAACTTTTTTCCAGCTTTTCCCTAAAAAAAGTAATGATAGGTGGTCTGAGTCTGTGGATTGAACGAACAAAAAAATAATAATCTGCTTGATCCTCTTTGATAATGTGGACAAAACCGATTTTGACTCATTTCTTGGGTCATTTTTCTTGGTTTTTGGCAAAATTTGTCAGCCATAAAATAGTAGATTTGTAATGATTTTTACCTGAAAGAAGCTCTCCACGTGCTCCTTTGGAGCGCTGTCGCTCATGTTGGGGAAGGTGCATTTCCCCATCATGTCATAGATGGAGTTCATTATTTCCGTCATCTCCTGAGCAAACAGAAGGGAGGAAACGGAAACCATCTGAGCTGGAAACACAGCAGGGGTCGGTTCACACAGACCCGGAGGAGGTCCGGTACCTCTCTGGTGATGCAGCCGTCCTTATTGAGATCGTAGAGATTAAAGGCCCAGTTGAGCTTGTCCGTGATGGAGCCTCTCAGGATGATGGACAGGCTCACGACAAAGTCCTGCAGCAGGAAAAAGCCAACGAACACTTCACTGGTGAGCTGTTCATAACCCAAAGCCTCGGTTATGAGGTCCACATGCACAGAAAACAGGGCGAACTACGAGCTATGAGAAATGCACGTCAGATGTGGAGAAATCTGCCTGAAAAATCCTCGTTATGGAGCGAGAGGAGAGTCTGTGTCTCACCTCAAAGCTGACCAGTCCGTGGCTGTGGGTGTCGAAGGCCTCAAACAGGAAATGTGCGTACGTACTTGAATCTGGAAAGAAAACAAAAAAGAGAGATCAGAATCCAGCATGTTCATCAATATAGAGGTGAATCTTATTTCTAAAATCACATTTAAATAACCAAAATGCTGCAAGATGTCATCTCAAGAAATCCAGAGCAAATAAAATCATTTTAACATTTTTTATATTAATTTTAATTCATTTTAATTAAGAATTAAGAATTTTAACATTTTTTAAATTCATTTAAATAATTTAAATTAATTTAAATTCATTTTAATTACATTTTAATTACATTTTAATGAAGTAAAACAGACCAAAAGGGGCAAAAAAAAACTTTCAACGTTTTCCTTTTTTTAAAATGTTGTTAAAGCTTTCTAATTTTTGGATTAATATGTCATAAAAACTCCAAATACATCTATCTAGAGCAAGAGCAGGTGAGTCCTGACCTCCCTGGGGGAAGAACTGGGAGTAGATGCCTTTGAACGTCTCCTCGTCCACAGCGCCGCTCGGACACTCCTGCAGAGAACAGACGGGTCAGAAACTCAGCTTTAGTTTGGCTTATTCAGGTTTCCAGGGCGCCTCAACAGAGGGACGGTCCCAGACATCTGTGACTGACGTTTTTGAATCCGCGGTAGAGGATCTGGAGCTCCCTCTTGCTGAATTTGGTCTGCTGGGCGAGGCGGTCCAGCCCCTCGGGCCGGTACCACACCGTGGACAACTCCGCCTCCTCGTCCAGGCTCCCTAACAGCCAGGTTAGAGTTTATCTGTAATTAGCATTTTATGCTATCACAGACTCCTTTTATAACTATATTTTGTGTTGAAGTCTCTGCGTCTTTCCTCACAGTATCTAAAACAGCTTTTTTCTAGTATTTTTCGGTCTAAAAATCAATCCGAAAACACAAGAAATGCAGTGAACGTCTAACAGATGCAACTCAGAGTGATAAAAAAACAAACCAATGGCCCTTTCCAAGCCTCATGCAGAGGTTGATGTGCTTTACAGTGTCATTTCCTAAACGGACTTGTTAGAATTTGGCTACAATTACTCACTTTAGCATTGTATGCTATCACATAATCTATGTTCATTACTGATTGTCTTATTCATTTTAGAACTATACTTTTGTGTTAAAGTCTCTGAATGTGTCCACAGACTCTCTTTTCTCTATTTTCCTCTCTCTGTTGCATTAGATCCACCTTTAGGTCAACACACACACACACACACACCATTTGTTACCACATTCCTGTCATCTGCATGAATTAGGACCTGGCCTGTTCCTGCCCAGAGGTAACTGGCCAATAGGACTTGGTTGTGTCCAGTCCTCCTTTGAGGAGGCGGATCGAGCCCAGGAGATAATGCCCATCACCCAGATCTCAGGGCTCTTTGCCCACTGAGACCCAGAGAGAGGTTTTAGTCTGTTAGAGCCCAGCTGATACACTTAACTGTGTCCCAATAAATGTTATTTTTTGTAATTGTGGTGCTGACACTCGCCTTGGTTGATGGAGGAGCTGGAGTCGGAGGGAAAGCAGGGCAGCAGCTTAAGGAAGCGCTGCTTTATGGTTTTCTTTGTGGGTTTGGAAGGAGGATTACCTGTAAACAAACATGAAAGCAGAGGCAGTAATAGAGTAGAAGATATAGCCCAGACTGAACGTAGTGTAAACAAAACATAAGCCAGACTTCACCCCCAGAGTTTGAACACTTGTCTTTCTGTTTTAGGGGACATCAGGCAGGCCAACACACACAGGAAACACACACAGTTTACACACGTGGTTTTATTTGGAATAGAAAACACCAAGAGATCCTGTTTTACTGCTATTTAACCAGAATTTAACCAGAATGCCCACTGAGAGACGAGCTGAGGGGTTATTACAGCCCACTTAGTCTGAGCTTTTACTCACTTATGAAAACACTAAAAAGGACCTGAGTCATTTAGGAGGAACT